AAAAAAAAAAAAATAAGGGAACTAAAAACCAAAGAGCATACAACTGTCAATAAAAATAAAATAAAATAAAAAAAAAGAAACCATTTACTATCATTCTCACCCCGAGTCAAGTTTACAAGCGGCATCCACTTCCTCCGTAAGAGACGCTGCCCGCAGACGCCCTGCTACCGTCTGAAGTGCATTAGACACTTTCAGCAGACGTGTACGACGAACACGTACTTCCCTCTCGCGTGCACGCAACTCCTCCTCACGTCTATTTAAATCATCCTGAAAGGCTTTAATACTTGCAGTGGTTTGCTCAATAGCCACAGTATTACGTTGTGTCAGCGCATGGCGTTTCTCCCATTCCTGCCGTAGGGCCTGCAATCCAACGTCAAAGTGCTGAAGAAGACTATCACCAAGGAGACGTGTATATCCATCTACATATGAACTATTCCGTGCGAATATTTTTGTAGCGAACGCAAGAGCAGAAACACCGACAGCACTATTATTATCTTTCTCATGTACTTTTCGCTGTTGTTCTTGTTCTTGTTCTTGTTTAAGTTGTTGAAGTTGTTTAGAAAGTCTTTTTTCTATTCCACTCGCAAGTAAGAGTGCCTTTTCCGTCCGTGACAGTTTCTCCTCTAATTGATTCTTTTGCTCTCTCATTGCTGTCATTTCACGTTTAAGACTAACCACTTCCAATGCATGTTCATTCGCCCGTTCCTCAAAGTCTTTCGCCGTACGTTGAACACTACTGAGTTCTCGGCGAAGTTTCTTAACACTATCGGGGTATTCCGAAGATTGTAATTCGTTATTTTTCCCACTTATTGAAGTCTTTGCACTCTGGCAGAAAGTACACATAGCCAATTGACGTATGTACTCAATGGAAATGCTGTGTTCACTTAATATCGTATGGGATACACAGTTCCATTGAGAAAGGGCAGCATACACTGCCTGTACAATATGCTGAGAATCAAGTGATGATATTTCAGTCTTCACTACACTGTTACTGTTCTTCTCATTCTCGTTATCTCCACTACTAGTCATTATATTGACATCATTATCATTATTATTATTATTATTATTATTATTATTATTATTATTATTATTATTATTATTATTATCATTATTAACTTCACCAGCACCACCACTGTTATCATCCATTATGACGTCATTACTTGCCGATTCCATCGCCTCAAGTCTTTCACGTAATTCCTTACAAATAATTTCTTGTTGTTTTCGTTCTTCCTCCAATGTTATCTTAAGATTATCTAAAGCCTGTTGTATTTCTTTACTATGTTCTTTTTCCTCTTCCAATTGTCGCTTAGTGAGATCTACGACATTTTGCATCACTGAATAATCCTCAGAAAACCGTTTTTCTTTCTTTTTTACCTCCTCCTGAAATGTTAAACGTGTCTTTGCCAATGAACTTTCAAGCTTTTCCAACTGCTCTTTATGTTCATTTTCTTTTTCTGTCATTTGTACCGCATGTTCACGCCTGAGAGCCTCCAACTCCGCCTCTAAATTTAGTTCAGATGAGAGATTTCTCTCGTTTACAGTTGCGAAAATATTTTTCTCTACTTCCTTTACCGCAAGTGTGGCACTCTCCAACCATGCGGTGAACTGTTCACCAAATGTTGATAGTTCATCCAAGTGTACATCCTGTAATCGTTGAATTTCCTCCTCTATAACGGTGTCAAACTGATGTAGAAGATGAGATTTCAACTTCTTTTCTTGTTCTTGTAATTGAAATCGCTGAGTTGCAAGACGTGCAGCATCTCCTGAGACTTTTTTCATTGCCTCCTGAAGTGCTGCTTCTCGCATATTAAGAATATTTTCTCTTTTTTGTAGCTGTTTCTCTAAAAGAGTTTCTTTCTTTTTTAAATTATCCCCACTATATTCATTATTCTCATTTACAGGAGTATCCGCATGAACAGCATCATCGTTTTTCATACTTGGAGAAACTACAGAAGATGGTACAGAAGCTCCTGAGGCCAATGGAGATGATAATGCGGATGATGATAACAATGTACCCCCTTGCGGGGATGTGACCTTTACGGTTTCCATAATTTTAATTTTCATCTGCAGTTGCTCATTCTCGGCCTTCAGATTATCTGTGAGATGTAGTAATCGTTCATTCTCAGACCGCAGTGATGAGGAGAGTACGATCAGCCGCTCCATCTCCTCCTCTTGTTCATCCAATGTCTTCATCAGATCACGGCGTTGTTGATATGCCTTCTCCGCCTCTGCCTGTGCCTTCGCAATCATCACTGCACATGCGTGGCAGAGCGGCACTGGTGCGGAACCGGGCCGCCCGGGCAAAGTCAATTGTCGCTCTAAACAGTTTGGGCACATCACCTTTCCGCAGGCATTGCAGTTGGCGGCTTTTGTGAACATGGAGAAACTGCGGCCGCAGCCGGGCTGTTGGCAAACGCGAATATCTTTCTTGTCAGGCCATTCACTTGGCGGGACGAGATGAAATAGATGGTCCATATTACTGCACCCTCTCTCTCTCTCTCTTCTTTAAGGCAGGAGAAATATGTAAAAAAAAAAAATAATAATAGAGGAGGAAGAAGAGAATAAAGAAAGAAGGTTAAACATGGTAAATGTAAAGATACTCCAGCAAAGAGAACGGTTTGTCAGTCTCTGTATGTAGATATGCATGTGTATGGGAGAGAGAGAGAGAGTAAGAGAAAAAAAAGGATAAAAGGAAGAGCAAACGATACAACGAAAAGAAAGAAAACAGAAAAATAAAAGTACTCGAAACAAATAGAAAGATATACAGATATATATATATATATATATATATAGATATATATAGATATACAAAAACCAAGGCGTTATGAAGAAAGAATATCTCTCTTAACGCCACTCACTTCCCACTACGATATAGCATAGAAGTACACGCATTACGATAGCGTGACTGTTGCTTGTCTTTTGACACAATATTTCCCGATTTAGATGAGGCATTAGTAGATGTAGTACGACTTCTGTGTAAATTTCTTTTAACACTATATTCTTGTTGTTGTTGTGGTGGTGATGATGATGACTCTACGGCTACACGGTTCTGTTGTATAGAGGTAACGATATTTCTTAATTGTTGAATTTCATTCTCCATATACTGCAGTCTTCCTCTTGATTCCATCTTTTCTACTGTTTGATGATTGCGTTCTCTGTGTTCTTGCTGGAGTGCCTTCTCCTGCAGAGCGGCCTCTCGCAGCGTTAAAGATGCCTCACGTCTCTTTAGTTTCTCTTCTCGTGCGATTAAAGAAATTTCTTTCCGCAACATTCGTTCTGCCTGACGTTTCAGGTCTGTCTCTAATTTTCGTAAGGATTCCATCTCCTGTTCTCTCCATGCGACCCACTCTTGTATAGTTTTTTCAAATGCCTCTTCTCGAAGGCGTAGTTTTGCTGTAAAAGGATCATTTTCTTTTCCCAAGAGTCCTCCAGATCGCCTTTCTGCCCAACTACGCGGTGTTGTTGTTTTCCCCTCACGGCGCTGCATGGGCGTTCCTTGTCGACTGCTGTTCTTTACAGACGGTGTGCGTGTTCGCAGCGGTGGGCGTTGTGCAGATGGAGTTGTGTAGATGGACGTTGGGGCACTATGGCGGCGGCCGGGCACCCGCTGGGGACTTTCCGCCAATACTCGCTGCAGCCACGAGTCACCCTCCGCACTGCATGATGTCATCTACAACAACTCTATATATATACGTATATATATATGATGAGAGAGAGAGAGAAGAAGAAGAAGGAGAGAGAATAATTTAAAGAAAAAAAATAAATAGTAATAATAATAATAAGAGTAGTAATAACATAAAAAAAAAAAAAAAGGATTACAAGAGCTCACATTCCCCTCACTCAGCAAAAAAAAAAAAAAACACACACATACACACACACGCATAAGATCTTCACTTTTTTTTTCTTTATCTTTCTTTTATCATTTACGTTCCTTCTCTTTTTCTTTTTTCTTTTCTGCCTTGACATTTACATCCTTTTTTTTTTTTCTTTTCTTTTCCCTTCGATTGATGTGAGAGGGAGTAGTAGGATAATAGGGTATGCTGTACAGTTATTCACAAAACAGAGCAAGAGATAATAAACAACAACAATAACAACAATAACAATATCAACAACAACGAAAGAAAGCAATACACCCCATCCACCCACCTACTCTTCCACTATGAACTATTCGAGTAGAAACTGTAAGGAATAAGGAATAAACAAAAAAAAAAAGGAAAAACGGAAGCAGGAAGAATGAATAAAGAACAAAGAAAAAAGAGAAAAATAGATAGAAAAAAAAAAGAAAAAGAAAAACATTAACAACAGAACTGGAAAAAAAAAAAAAAAACGAATTGTGTACTACTCTCCGACTAGGGGGTCCACATTTGGTTCCTTTTCCAGAAGTAAGAGACACGAAGAAGTCTACAATCAACTTGCGCCATTATGAAATGGAGGAAAAAAAAAAAGGAAAAATAACGAAAAAAAAGACAAAAATAAAAAAAAGAAAAAGAAGAAAATGGTCTTCTCTTCTCTCTTTTCTTCTTTTTCTTTTTTATTTTTATTTTTTTTGATGTCCTCATTTCTCTAATTACGACGTATACGCCTCAAAATGTGCCTGAACCGGAATATTGCAATTCTGCACAGGACATTGGCCGTGGATGTGTTCAGCGCAGTCTTTACATAATACCTGGTGTTTGCATGGATAACAAATGACCGTACAAAGACGTCGGTGACAAATCATACACTTTGAACGTTCATTAATAGTCATTCGTACTCGGCTAATCAATTCAAGCATTTCACGTTCAATTTCTTGTAATTGTTCGAGTGGTCGTTGTTGTAGTTCCGCAATGGTTGGCATTTGAACATGTGTATTGAGTACCTCAGCTTTAATTTTTTCCCGAAGTGCATTAAGTGCCTGTTCACGTCTTTCTGCTGTTTGTGGATCTTCCCCATGACGTCTACGCCTTGGCTCTGGTGCGAGCGCTTGTTGTTTGTGTTCTTCTAACATGCCTAATCGAAACTGTAATTGCGGTAAACTTATAAAAGGATGCCCTGCCTCTCGAGTCATTTCAATCCATTGTTGATATTCCGATTGTTTAAAAGGGGAATTAGATATGGAATTTAACTGCACGACATTACCATTCTGTGTTGCCCGGAAACATGGTGGTAACTCAATTACTATATGCCATTCTGTACTGGCCATATCTGCAGAGAAACCAGAATATTTAGGTCCACGTCTAGCTCCTTTTACACATGCAATGTAGTAGTGATCACTGTTATCGCGTCTTACATCTTCACTACGCATTTCAAGAAGAACTCGCACAAAACATCCTCTAACTACTTCCTCAATGTTTTTCCACTCAATAAAGTTAACCAGTGTTGTGCGAAAGAGTTGCAGTTTCTGCAGCATTTGAAGGGCCGGTGGCGGCGTCTGTTCATCTGCCAAGTACTCACCTTGTCTTCCTTCGGCCATTATAATTATTACACAACGTCTGTCTTCTTCTTTTTTTTCTTTCTTTTCTTTCCTCTTGCGATGATCTTCTTGTTCTAGTTGCCTTTGCTTTCCCTTTTTTAAAAAACTTTTTTCTCTAATTTGCTACGGTCAACACAGTTGAATAAATATCAGTTACAAGAAAAAGAGATAGAGGTTCACAGAAAAAAAAAAAAAAAATGAATAAAATACACAACATGAGTTTCACGCAGTCGTTAAAATATAACCTTGAGAACTATATACATATATGTTAACGTAGGAGTCATACTTCCACCCTACTAAAAAAAAAAAAAAAACTTGTACAAGAATAAAAAAAAACAAAAATAAAAAGTAGATAGCTTCATTTTTAATTTGTTTGCCCTTTCCACTCCTTTAAGAACATTTTAAGGGAAGGAGGAAAAGGAAATAACGCATGAAAAAATAAAAAATAAATAAATATATATAAAATAAAATAAAAAAACAATGAAGAAAATACAGTTAGAGACATTTATCTATTTTTTATACTATGGAGGAAGTGAGTAACTGTCTTTACGATATGTTCATCTGATTTCTTAGTAAGGAAAGCACAAGAGCTGTCTTTGCACCTTCTCTTTCGATAGTTTGTGACCGCGGTGTGGATGGACCGACGGGGAAGAATTTTGTTTGTTGAATATCTGGTGATCTCAGTGAGTTTACCTCGTTCTTTACTCCTTCCTGCTCTTTAGACTCCTCTTGCAGTATGTGTCGCAGCTCTCGCACCTTATCATCACGCCGTTTTTGCCAGAGACACATTCTCTCATAAATGTCGCTCTTCCGCCTCGGTGAGGATATGTTCGGCCCACCATTACGTGGTGTGTGAATGGATGGCACATATTCCTTAACTCCAAGGTCCTCATCCATGAAAATACCACCACTATGATTCCTACTATTACTATTAGTATTAGTATTATTATTATTACTAGTACTACTATTGTTGACATTATTGTTGTTGTTGTTGTTGATATTGTTCCGCCACCTAAGACCTGACATAAGTCGTTCATTAGAGGAGGATGGTAAACCAGCGGCAATCATAGCGGAGACACTGTCAATGGTTGGTGTGTATGCCTGTCCCCGTCCACTAGTGGTTGAGTTGAGTGGTGTTGCATTTGACTCTTCGTGTAAACGTTCATTGCGGCGTCTTGCATCTGTCATAAGACGTTTCGTGATGTTTTCATCACGATCCAGAGTTGCAGCGTATGCTGTGATGCGTGGGGAGAAGGCGGTGTTGTTGTTGTTGTTGTTGTTGTGCGGTGTTTGAATGCCTTGTTGATGCTGTTCCCAGCGTTCAAGCTGTGCGATGCGATCACGTATGAGAATAGCATCTATGCGTGCGATGTCCTCCCCGCCATCCCGCTCTCTTGCCCGCCGCGCCAACTCATTCCTGCGTGCACTCATCGCTCGTGTACTGCCCCTCCTCTCCGTTCGTGTTTCGTGTTCGCGACGGTGTCGTGCGGCGGCGGCGGCGAGTCGTTCGCGTTCGCGTTCGCGTTCCTCCTCGCGGCACAACTCGAGCGGCCGCTGCGCCAAACTCAAGGCGCGGCCCTCGGCGTGTCTGCCGCGCTCCGTGATGGCCGGCCGGAACCACCCGTCGCGCTGTTGTTGCTGTTGGGCCTCGCGGTCTCTGTGGAGCCGCCGGTGCTCCTCGAGCCGCCGCCGCTCGTCGTGCAGCCGCAGCAGCCGGTCGACGATCGGCCCGTCGCGTTGGAGTTGGCGGGCGACGGCGCTGACGTGCGGGGCGGGGCGGCACTGCGACAACTCCCGCCGGCGTTGCGCCTCAACGGCCGCCTCCCGCCGCTCCCGCGCGGCCGCATCGCAGCGGCGCATGTCGGCGTAAACTTCACGCGGCGTGCGGGCCCGCGGCGGTGTGGTGTCGAAGGCGACATCATAAAGAGAGGCCGGCGTCGACTGCAGAACAGCCGCGAGTGAACGGGCACGATGAGTTTCCGGCTCCGTGTAGAAGGAAGGACAACGACGCTGGTCCACCGCAAGAGGGGAACTGTACATCCTCTTCCTCTTCTTCTAATAGCTATCGTAAAGGAGAAGAGAAAAGAAAAGAAAAGAAAGAGATAAGGGTAGTGTAATATGCACGTTTTTTTTTTTTTCACATTGTATCTTTTTCCCACCTCGCAGAAGAATATCCCTTTTTCCCTGAGAAAAAACTAAGAAAAAAATAATAATAATACTCTTTCCTTCCTTCCTTCTTTCTTTCTTTTTCTTTGTCTCTCTCGCTTATGCAGAGAGCTACGATCCTCGACTTTCCCCCAAAAGTTGGAGCCAACTACTCACACCTGTGGGAACCTGCTGTGAAAGGGCTTCCGCGATATTACTGATGAACCGCAGTGTTTCTCCTGCGTTTCTAAAGCAAATATCATCTGCCACAAATTTTGCCATTTCTTCAAAATCTTCACTATTCATTTCGATACCTCGTATAGAATTAATAAATTCTTCTTCTTCCTTTACGTGACGAGCAAAACTTGCTAGAGTTGCCAAAAGTTGTGGGTATTTTCCAAGATCTTTTATTCTTATTCCACAAGCAAAGAATTTTTGAAGCCATGGTTCTTCAACAATATCGGAAGCGAAATGTCGTAAAATATATGGCATTCCTTTTACCTTAAGGATTTCCTCTATCGCCTCATTTGTATCTGCCACACTTTCAGCAGTTAGAAGCAACTCTCGTAGACGGTCATAATCTTTACTATGGTAATGAGCAAAAAGTAACTCTACTCCTACTACTCGAGCTTCAGTCTTCCAGAGTTGAACGTTGGTGTGCCAATGTGTAACAAGTTGATCTGCATAACGTGATAAGGGTGGAAATCGGGATGCCAAATATCGTATAAAATATTTCTGAGATTCTATGGTGGGATCTTCATTAGATTCAGCTAAACTTTGAATAGCACTAATGGCCACATTCATTTTTCGTGATAGTGATGCTGAGATAATCACGGCAGAAACTGCTTTTTGATCCCATCGAGCTGATGTATGTTTCATCCATGACCAAAGTGCAAGTACTTTTCGATGTTCTCCTCCCCGTGAAAGTAAAGTAAGTACATAACCATAATCTTTTGGGCTAACGAATGAGCGCAATAAAGCAATATTTAATGCATCTGCAACGTTTTGTTTGTCTTCAGAGTTTATCGGATCACTTACTTCACAAAGCGGACGAAGGAGTACCCCTGCAAGATGAGGCACCTCTCGTATCTCTCGCATAAGCAATAATTTAATTTCTTTCGACTTTCCATCTTTAACTAATCTTCCTGCAAGAGAGGCAAGGAATTGAGAAGAAATGACGGATGAAACAGGACGTACCGCAGCCATTAATCGCAGAAGTGTATCCGCATCCACAGCGGTATCTTGAGAAAGCAACTGAATAAGTTCTTCTGCAAGATCACGTGCGGATGGATGAGTAGAGAGTAGCGTCACCACTCGCTGCGTTTCACCTGTTAACACGTAACTTCTTCCTAAAGCTGCCGCAATAGGCACAGGAATGGGGGCGATGGGAAACTGTTTTCGAAAAGTGGATGCCACTTCATGTATAGATTTATCATCTCTTATCACTAACTTATCACCACAGAGAAGACGCTGAAAAGTAAGCCGCGCAGTGATGCACCGTCTCATTACTTTACCCCTTCTACTAAAAAAAAAAGTCAAAACTAGTGAAATGATGCCAGAGTAATGGATAGAAAAAAAAAAGAAGAAAAAAAAGGACAAGAGATAGACACAGCAAAAAAATAAAAAATAAATAAATAATAACGGATCAGTTCTACTCTCACCCAATATCATCAATGAATCCCCATTTTTCTAGGATTCAAAGAAGAGACACTGATATATATATATATAGAGAGAGAGAAGGAAACAAAAGAAAACAAAACAAAGAGAGGTGAATGCATCTCTGTAATAATCTATCTATCAATCTAGATCTACATGTTTTTCTTTTCTTTACTTTTCTTTTTTCTTTGGAGCAGAGGGAGGTGTGGAACGATAGGTTCCAATCAACGAGAATGGTCCTTCTTCTCAGCATTGCTTAATGCAGACATAATCTCCATTCTTTCCTCATCTTGTAGTTGACCCCAGCATTCACGCACAAACTCGGGATCACGCAGACGCAGAATAGGAATGGCTTCTCCAATAGAAGCTTCTAAAAGTTCCATAACAGCCCCAAGACGATCGTAAAGCGTTTGCCGTTGACGCCACTTTGCTGTTGAGACATTGGCGTTGTCACCATGTGATAAGGATACAAATTTATCAACGAGAGCTGTACAAAGTTTACACACCAACGCCAGTGTCTCATCCACATCACTGTTCACATTGTATCCAATCCACTTGGCAGGAAGAAGATCTTCCACTTCTTCAGGTCCTGTACAACGACCAACGTTTTTTTCCCAGTATTCCTCTTTTTCTGTCCATGAGAGATCCCATGTGTGGACTGTTTTTGAAGACATTGTGAGTGTAGAAGCGGCGTTAGCATCCCAGTTGTGCAGTAATCCACCATTAACGAGATTAGGATCCCGCACCATAACCATTGGTCCAGTCACAGCAGCCGTATGGGGATTGAGAATCTTCATCTTTTCACACCCCGTCATACGTTGCGGGTTTAACGTGTAGGGAAGAACAGTCTGCATGCTAGAATAAGAGGATCACTACTTCTCCAAACTTGCTAGCGTCAAATAAAAAAAAAGAAGGAAAATAAAATAAAAAATAAAAAAAAAAATAGTGATAATCAAAAAGAATAACAACACATTCAAATACATGAAACTAAAAAAAAAAAAATAACTCCATCTTTTCTCTCTCTCTCTCTCTCAGAGACACCCTTACAAAAACAAAAAAAAAAACCCTCTGTTATATCGCCCCAAGAACCGCATTTAAATTCTGATCATTAAGACATCAAAGCACCAAAAAAAAAGAAAAAAGAAAAGAAAAAAATTGAACAACAGAAAATCCAAAAAAATAAAAAATAAAAAATAAAATAAAAATAAAAATCTGTAGAATGGGTCATAATCTGTATCTATGTTTAGGTGTTCATCAGGTGTGAACCCATAAGAGTGTAGAGAGAACAATGACCAGGGCTTGAACAGTCCAGCAAAGTGACCGAAATGTGATAGAGGCCATAGTGGCAGTCATACCTTTGCCAGTATTCCCGCTAACGCAAGATGAACGGTAATAAAGTGAGATGCAGTTCCTCTCCAGCTCATCAATCTCCTCATCTGTTACTTTCATAAAAAGAAAAAAACAAGTGGAAGAATTTCCTTCATCCCCACATAATCATCGAGAGTTAAAAAAGAAAAACAAAAAAAAAAACAAAAACCAGAAAAACCCAATGGAACAATGACAAGATAAAGGAATGATGCAAACAATCATTAAGTATGTTTAAATTTAATTTAAACCACACAAAAGAGTGAATGGAAATATCATTAGATACACTATGTACATCATAGTAAACAGTTCAAAAAAAAAAAAAAAACAGCAAAACCAACAGGTATCCTGAATAGATCCTAACTAAAACTTCACTGGAAACGTCGGCGGAAACTTTGAAGTTGTGATAAAGGAATACCAAACTGCTCTGGAGGTAGCAATTCCCCTGTTACTGGACATCGGTACAGTACTTTTCTCTCTGGTCCAGAGTGTGGTGGAGGTATGTGACGGAGTAAATTTTTTGTCTCTTTTGCATTAATTTGTTCTTCTAATGCTCTCATGTAGAATTCTCGTCTTTGTTTAGCCCTTTTCTGCTTTTTTTCTCTATCAAGTTGTGCTTTCTTCTCAGATTCTTGAAGAAGACGTTTTTCATATTCTAACTCTCGTTCTCTTGCCTCAAGTCGTGCCTCACGTGCAGACTCCATATCCTTTTTCAAGCAATCGTAATAATGTTGTTCCTTCTCTTGTCGTCCCTTTGTATATTTAGAACCGATATCACGAAAAAAGACATCTTCACGCCGTGTCTCATCCATTAGTGCATGCCTTCTAACTTCACGTTCCAATATGGAATTAAGAACATCTTTGGAAAATTGTTCTTGCTTTTTACGTTTCTCTATAATTTTACGCTCTTTTTGTTTTTGATATAACTCTTCAGCTTCTCGTAACTCATTCCGTTCACTTTGTATTCTAAGTTCTTCCTCTTCTATTCGCCTTCTCTTGGCTTCGTCTGCCATCTTTCTATTTGTCTCCATTATTTTTCGTTCTTTTTCTCGTGTTCTATTCTCATCTGCGGTTTTAGGACGTGGAAACCAATCCCAGAAAGTATCCGAGTCCTTTACTCTAGTAGTGGCATTTTCTTTATGTGTATTAAAGCTACAACTCCTCTGAATACGCTGTAGTGCTCGTTTTTTCTCTTGTAAACGTGCATTTTCTTCTTCTATTTTTGCTCTATTTTCTTCTAATGCTGCCAACTCCATAGATATTTCTTTCATTTTTTTCATTTCTTGCTCTTTTTTGGCATCCTCAGCAAGCTTACGGTTGGTTTCCATTATAGCTAAAGACTCTGCTCGTCTGTTATTCTCCCTCTGAGACTCATTATCCCATGGAAAAGCCGAACAAACAAGTTCATTTCGGCCTTTAAATTCAGATTCCGTATCTAGATCCTTTTTACCATCTGTTTCCACCAAAACGTTAGATTGTATAGCTTCAGATTCACTTTTATTATTTCTTGTAATTGTAGTTACTACTTCTCTATTGGGTTCTTCTGAGTTAACTTTTAACTTCATGATTGGGCGTCCCAGACGTTTCTCTCGTTCGCGTTGTCTTTCCTCCATTTTACGTTGAGCCTGTTCCATATTAATCCTTTGAAGATTTTCTAATAAACGTCGACGTCGTAATGCATACTCGCGTTCACGTGATTTAAAAAACGCAATATTAGGAGATTTATCACAGATATTTCCTTCTACATGCCTTTTTCGTTTTTCCTCTATTAATTGCATATTTACAGCCTGAATGGACGGGATCCTTGAATTATATATAATGTACTCTGTATCTGCTGCCTCATTCTTCCCCTTGACGGTCAGTACTTCACCGGTGAAATCGGCGAATGGCGCCTTTGGGAGTTGACGCCGCTGCGGCCCCTCCGCCGCCCGCCGTGTGGGTGCGAGCACTCGATATTGTTGGGGCCTCTCCGCCGCGGTGAGGGCGGGCTCCGGGACCGACACCGCCAAGTGGTCGAGAAGAGAGAACTCCTCAGACATATACACTGCAAAGGGAGAAATAAAGAAAGAGAGATAGATATAGATAGATAGATAGATATAGATAGATAGAAAATGGAAGGCTCGTTAAACAAAGCGAATAGAATAGTTTTTTTTTTTTTTTTAGATTTCACATAACATTGCAAAGTACGGCAACACCACCACTCTATCTTAACGTTTCATTGGAAAAAAGAAAAAAAGAAAAAATGTTTCTGCGTAGAAGAATATATACAACGACGTACACTTGGCTGAATGTCCACGTGGCATTCAACGAATACCTTCCGCACCAAAGAAACTTAACAAGGATCTGAAGATATATATATATATATATATAGAGAGAGAGAGAGAGAGATAGATAGATAGATAGATAGAGGGTTAAGGTGTGGAAATAAATAAGTAGAGTGAAACACAAAACAATAAAAAAAAAGAGAAAAAGAGAATAAACACATCATCTGCAAAACATGTAGATAATCTTTATTACACCTTCAATCTACAATGTATACATTAATTCGGTAAAGGCAATGAATGACTTTTCAGAAGTTGGCACATTCTCAGATACCTTGATTTCATATTTTGTGCTTCCTGTGTACACGCTGGATCGTTATTATCTTCATTTTCTGGAGGTTTTGGAATATCAGCAAACATTATATCATGTATAATAGATGTCAGTGATCTCTCTAGAATCTCCTGTGACCAAGAAAAGGCATGATTCTCATTTCCGGGCATAATAATTGGGCGTTCCATATACACATCAAACTGTCGTAATTCCAATGTTTCTCCTTTTATAGCTAATGTACAGCCATAATTTTGATTTACTCCAGCAAAATGGGGAGCAGAAAAAAGTAATATATGTGTTGGTACATGAAATCTATACTGGAATCTACCCAGCACATACCCGGGGAAATAAGTGGATTCCCTATGACGATTGAGTCTTGAGAAGGTTTCAACTTCATAACGACCTGTGTGATATTCAAGACCTCCAATATGGGTATAGAGATTATTACGCGACAAGAAATTACACATAGCATCAAATGAGTACCTAAAATAACTTCCAATCTCTGATTGTGCTCCCACAAATGCGCATCCAGATGCAAGTCTATCTTCATCTTCATCCATTGGTTTATTTTGAATAAAACCACTGAGTTTCATTTGTGAGGACTCTTGTGCAATAGTAGAAATGAATCGGTACTCTGATGCAAGTCCACTAGAGGAACAGAAGAAACGTTTATTTACAATACATACCACAGGAAGTTTTGTAAAGAAATCTTTTAAAGCTTCTTCCAGAGTATCTAAAGGAACTCCCATTTGAATAGAACGTAAACGAAGTTCACCTTGCAATGATCCAAAGTCACCTGAAGGAAATGGATAATACATTTCATGACTACCAATTAAAGGAACAACAGAGGGAAAATGTTGTACCATAAGAGCAACTAAATACAATACCTCCAAAGACTGATGACCTCCATCCACATAATTTCCAAGAAAAACAATATTTAATTCACCTCTAGATGCCTTGTAAAGAACATCCTTTTGAAGGTAATGAGCCAAGTCAGCTGCATGACCTCGACAAGGTCCTATTATTAAAGTATCACCTGAAACTTCCTTTAAAAAACGATCACGTTCCAAGAAAGTTTCTGCTTTCTGTAGTGTTTTCAGAAGCTCATTCACTTCTACATTGGTCCCACACACAATGGTCTTTAGAGCATCTTCAACAATTTTTTCACCATTCACTGACATGAGTGCTACTGGGTTTCTTCTACTTTATTTGGCCAGATATAAATAAAAGATTAAAAGATAAAACCAAAAAAAAAAAAAAAAATCAAGAAAAAAAAGAAGAAGAAATCGTTTTTTTTTTTTTTTTTTTTTGGTTTTATCTTTTGTAATGAGCGAATAATTCACCATATATATATATATATATATATACCTCTCGTTTAAGAACAACAAGAAAGAAAAGAAGGTATTGAAAAAAAAAAAAAAAAATACCCGTCTTTCTACTTTTCTTTACTTTGTCATTACTCAACATTATGTTAAGTAAGAAGAGCAGCTAACAAATGAACATCCTCCACATCCTCATTATTCTTATTTTATTTTGGTATCTGGTGTAGAAGGTCAAGAGTATCGTAATAGACGGAGAGCAATGTCGCCACCTCAAAAAAACGATCACACACCTGTCGAGTTGGAGCTGTGGTATTGTATGTTTGCATAACATCCAAAACCGGCTGTTCCCGCGGTGCTCCAATCATGCGAAAATCCGAAAGTGAATTCCTGCGGGAATAAGGGGCAAGACGAAAAGAGTAAACGACTTGACGGGCATGCCTCGGGAATGGTGGGAATCTGTAGTAATTCTTTAGACTATCAAAACTGCGATGAAGATCATAACGTTGTTTCTGTCTTCTACGAGGCATGTTTATATTTAACTTTATGGTTTGTAGTATCAAAAAAAGAAAAGAAAAAAAAAGGAACAAAGAGAAAAAGAAAGAAAGAAAGAGAGAGGGGAAAATATTACGAATACATCAATAAATACTCCTTCTTGATCACACATGAGGTACAACCTCTATTTAGAAAAAAAAAAGAACAAAAAAACCCAAATGGACAAATAAAGAAAAAAAAAAACGAGACACTTTGTTCCTCCTGCACTTCACGTTCCACCTGCAGGAGCGATAGATGGAAATCCTTTTATCTAGTGCTACTCTTCGATCTCAAGCGTCCAGCTTGTCCTACATTACGACGCAGTAGAAACTGCTTCTGGCGTGTTCGTTTGTACTCACAACGCCATACCAACTCTTGATGATAGTGATCAATTACTCCCTGAGGATTACGGTCTGAAAGAAATCCTATCTTGTATAATTTACGTTCAAAATCACTTGATGCATGCCAGAGTGGTCCCCAACCAAGACCTGCCAACTCTCCAGAATTCACAATAAAACGTACAAAGGATCGGAGTTCGTATTCATCAAAATTACCAAGTTTAATTGGATGAAAAAAGGAATCTTTTTCCGCATCATACGGTGCATATTCATCTAGACTGTTTGCATATTTATCCGTTTCAACATCTGGAAATCCACTAATACCATCAAAGGGTTTAAAATCCCTAGTAGTACATGTAATAAAGAATTTATTCGGCTCATCTTTGGAAAGAACCATCTTATTAAGACCACGGACGAAACTTAGACGAGAGGCGGGGATACGAGGAAGTTCTTGAGGATAAAGATCGACATCAGTTGAACCATCGTTTAAAGATGCAAGCGTTCGAAGAAAATCAGGATGTGGATAACGAAAATGAGTCTCATGTGAAAACAAATTCCATCCATCAACAACTATAATAATAGGAAGATTTTTTTCCGCACTAATTTCGTCCATAAGGAACTTGATGCAAACACTTTGACGATCAATAGAAGCTGGAGCAACAGCACGATGACCCCATTCACAAAGTTCATATAAATTTTGTGGTTGTCGTTCTCCCTGTTCCACTGGAAGATCTTTAGGTGTACACTTCAATCGCCAAGATGTGAGAAGGTTTCGATTGGCAAGTGCAAAGTACTGAAGAAAAGACCTTGCGGCATCTGGGGCATCAAAAAAACCGGGTAATATCGTACTAGGCCAACACCATTCCCCGTGAGTCCATGTCTTCGCATCTGGCACATATAATGTGAGTAAATTTCTAGATCGTGCGTAATGGACTACTTGACACATAAGTGCACTTTTTCCACATCCAGTTTGTCCATCCACAATAAATCCTGGTCTATTATTTGTAAGTGAACTTAAAACAGAGCGTTTCGTTTGCCAATGTTCCACTTTTTCAATAAATAAATTAAGTAAATGAGCTTCCTTACGATACAAAAAACCTCTAGGATGCCCTGGAGGCATCATCTGCATAACTTTCCCACCTAATCCTTCTGGGAAAAATCGTATGAGATCATCATTTCCAATACAATACATAGAATTAATGTCATTAAACGTGAGTCGTGTTGGCATTATTTCTTGTGGATGAGAATAACTCTTCACAACAGAGCGTACAGGTACACCCTTTTGCATTGTACGAACTTCTTTAAGAGGAATGGCACCATTCCACATTGCTACTGGAGCCTCACAAGCATCTGTGTAGCACGTCACAGGAGGCCGTGCATACATAGCAGCCAGACTTTTTCCAAACACTTTTGCTCGCATTCTTTTTATTTTTCGTTGTTGTTGTGGGATCTTTCTAGGGAAACAAAAAAGAATAAAGAAAAAAAAAAAAGATGAAATGAAATGAAATGGTGTAAAAAGATATATAGAGATACACATATAACCAAATACAAAATAATTGCAAGTTTATATACATTCATTAATGCACTTTCTTCGTAGTTCTGCATCAATAATGAAATAAAAAATTGCTCTCGAATGCTATTGGGCAAACTGCGTTCTATACCTAATGGTACCGAAAAAGAAACGAAGAAAAAAAAAAAAGCGAGTGAGAGAGATAGAGAAAAAAAAAAAAAAACAAACAAACAAAAGACGACCATGCTATATACGTTCAGAACGGGTTTGGTTCTCACTTATTTTTGCAGAACTGCTGAATGGAGGATTTTGTACTGCCAAATTGTGGTACTTGGGATCTTTTTCCATACAATAAGGTGTTTTATTCCATGGGATTGTCATATCTTCCGGTTCACCTTTGTGAAGAGCAATTGTCCTGATCAGTCCACCACTGGAACCATCACGACTGTATGCATGTGCAACGGCTTGTTGACAAAACTTAACACATTCATCTTTCGTCATACCGGGCTTGTAGTTTTTGTCAAAAAATGAGTATAAAAAGATAGATCCACTTCCTCCCAAGGCATAATCCAGCTTTACACACGAGCCACCAGAAGGGATGCTATAAACAGAACCACCATTTAAAGAATCATATCCTGCCACAATAATACCTGCAGATATATTCCATTTATTCATGTAGCATAACTTTTTAAAGATGTTAGCAGCAGTTACCACATTTACTGGCTTTGACGTATCTGTTTCATAACTCTCTAGATAATTCGCCGTTTGCTCAGCCAAGGCTTGAGTATCAGCAGCAGATCCACTTCGACAACAATATATCTTTTGTGTCAACTTGGTCAATTTGTTGCTTGCACGATTCACCACATATGTCCCTGTAGAAGTTCGAGAATCTGCTGCAAGTACAACCCCGTCTTTAAATGAAACTGCCATGATGGTCGTTCCAAGCGAAACGGCTTCACTTAACTGAGGGTCAAGAACAGCAGCATCAGGTTCGAAAATTTGTTTGCCACTTTGTAAAGGTCCATTTGGTGTCAATTCATGCGTAATTTCCTTCGGGTACGAAGGTTCGTGAAGCAAGGTACCTGCTGGTCGGTTAAGCATTGGTTTCTCCTTCTTTTTTGTTCTTTTTTTTTTTTATTATTTCTTTGTATGAGTGAGAGGTTTACTGAGATTTGGTTTCTTTGCGGTGTTCTTTGTAAGAAAAAGAAAGGAGATATACGTAGAGAGAGAGAGAGAGAGAGAGAGAAAGAAAGAAAGGGGGAAAGGGAAAGAAAGGATGGGTAGGAAGAAAAACATAAAAATAAAAAAAGAAATATTAAAGGAGGGAGACTTGGCACATGGGACTCAAATGAAGAGTGAATGTTCTATCCCTGGCAAAAGAAAGAATAATAATAATAATAATAATAATAATAATAATAATAATAATAACGAACGTCACTACTGCACTACAAAAGTTTTTCCATGCTCTTCAGATACATCATGGTCTGCTGGGTTCGCCATTGCTTCATAAACAATGTTGGTAGCAAGTTCTTGATGAACGGGTCTTCCAGTTGACTCACCAAAGATATCAATTCGGAGTAAGTGTGTTTCATTTTCACCAAAATTATCTTTAAAAAGTAGCGCCAAATTAGATGATGATGAAAATTTTGCTGGGTTTAGGCGGTAGACTATTCGGTCTCCAACTGACACTTGAGCCAATAGAATTTCCTCTTGAGGTTCCAAATTTCGTACCGAGTCAAAACCTTGAATAATACCAGGGTTACAAAATACTTTTACTTGAGATGGGGCAAAATCATCATTAGTTCCAAGTATGGAAATACCTTTAATGCGACAAACCTGCTTTAATGGTATGAAAAGAAGAAGTTCTGGGTCAGCATCACTACAAACAGGTTCTTCATTATTTACATTATTCGGATCAAGTATACGTGCAGCTTCAGAATTGCCTTGTTTCGCATTCCATAACTGGATAAAAGGTAAATCTATCTGCTCATTTAAGGGAGAACCGACACCGAAAACACCACCATGAAGAAATCCATCTTGCAAATGATCATGAGAGCCTGTACCATGACGACAGTTACAGGGCATTATGGCCTTCTTCTAGGCTCCTAATTATAATTATAATTATAATAATAATAATTATTATTATTATTATTATTTAAAGATAAAAGGGTAAAAGAGAAAGTCAGTCATCATAGAATAAGAAATATGAGGAATAGATAGACTTAAAACAACAACAACAAAAAAAAACACATATTCAACACCATACAGTACACTACATATGTACGGGAAAAAAGAAATTTATGTATATTACACACCTCTTAAAGAAAGAATTACTTACGTTTCCCTGGTGCGAACCTGGCAGTATGAAACCTAAACATTTCATCAGTTACTGCAGAAGGTGGCATAATTCCTTTTTCGGAAAAAACAAGTGTAATCATAGATGGAGGAACAAATTCCACGAGAGGGACATCACCACTACCTTCTGGTTGTTTGAGATCTGTAGTACTTAGTGGGAAAATACGTGCAAATTTAAATGTTTCACAAAGAACGTAAAAAGGAACATTCATAGCAGATGCAACAGTTGCAATTTGCAGCGATCCAGTGGAATGCACAAGTCCACCGTGTTCAGTAACACAATATGCACCCATCACTACGAAATCAACTTTGCTCATAACTGCACCTACACCAGCATCTGGTATAATTGTACAAGACTCGAGTAATTTTTCTTTTAATTTTTGTCCTTCCGGGGTTTCAGCTGCCTTTTTTAGTAGAGCTGCTCCAGTACCTTTAGGATACTTTGAAGTCACAGGACGTCCCTCACAAATGTAAAAATGAACACCTTTCCGCTCTTGAACTGCGCACGCAATAGCAAGAGCTAACAAACCTCCACATCCGTGAACCAAAATACGAGATGTACTTCCCACAAAAGGTAACATATCATTAATTTGATCTTTTTGACTACGCTTAAAATCTTTTTCCCTCGCTTCACACCGCGCATTCATTTCAGTTAAACTGCGCTTTAAATCATGACTATTTGCCGCATCCTTAGTTAAATGCACACGAAAACGTTCAAATCCATCACCAAGTGATTCATAACTCTGTAGTGTTTTTGTTATTTCCTTATCAAGTTCAGAATATGTAGAAAACTGTCTCGAAGTCAGCAACTCCTTGACTTCGCTCACAGCTCGAATCATTATACTTATATCATAATCTTCACAAGGCACCTCCATTTTTCCTATTACCCTATCTTCAGTGTAAACTTATACTCTTACCGAATAGTAAAAAAAAAGAAAAAAGAGAAAAAAAAGACGGAAGAGCATCAAATACGTTTTCAACAGAAGCACTCTACATAGATACCTTTTTTTTTTTTTTTTTTACTCACCACCCCACCCCCTCCATACTTTGGACGTCAAAAAAAGTGAAAGAAAACAAAAAACGGTCTCCAAACAATAACAACAACAACAAAAAAGGTAACCAACATTCTACATTAGAGGGATTCTATGTACTGCAGTACCTCTTCACAATAGGAGGCGTCTTGTTGTTTAGTAAGAGATGCACGAATGAGATCTGCAGTAAGAGAGGGTGACAATATCGCAATATTTTTTGCGACATTAACCAATATAGGCCTCAATCCAACCATCTCTTCGGAATCATCAAGGTGAATAAGAATTTTTTTAACCAAAGGTTCCAAAAGTGCAATAATCCCATCAATAACAATAGGCGAAGCGGATTCCTTAGTTTCTAAAATTTTCAATAACCCAGAAGCAGCCTTGGCTCGCAAAAGATCACTGGAATCATCAAATCGTAACAAAATTGACTGTATAATATCATTAGCACTACCCATATTAAGAGGTAAACGAGAGATATTCGCTGCAGCTGTCATACATACAAGTCTCATTTCTGCATCATCTGCATCAGAAGCACTGCACCAAGCTGTTACAACATTTGAAGAAAGAGCGAATTCATTATCTTCAAATTTTTTAAAAAGTAAGCATCGGTTTTGGTCTTCAAGTATAGCACATAAACAGCTAACAGCAACTTTTCTAAACAGATGTGCTGACCCACCCGGGCGAAACGTACTCAAAGGAAGAATAATTACTCTAAGTAACTCCTCTAGTTGAGATGCTGAAAATACAGGTACCTTTTGCCAGAGAAGCTGATCCAATACACGCATATAGTTTAATTCTTCGGTAACACGTTTTGTAAAGTCAATATCAGCAAGTTTCACGAGGAAAAGACCAGACAACTGCTCAGCGTACTTTTTTACATCTTTGGAATTTAAAACAAGATCAGCAAATGCACCTACCGGCATTTCCGTTCCATATCTAAACAAAATTCTCCCAATATGAAGATCATATATTCCATTTTCATCACCTGTAACAACATTAGAGAGATCCTTGATACAACGGGAAACATGCGTTTGCAAAGATGGGAAGTCAGATGATCGTAAGCGAAGAAGTGCATAAAACAGAATGGAATCCAGTGTTCTCTGACTCAAATCTTCTAATACTTCAGTTGGAAGCGGATTCATAGGAGTTGGTACAAAACCTCGTTCACCTAAAACAATTACTATAGTATCTAATGTTTCTAAAAGAGAACACAAAAGTGCCTCAGAATCACTTTCTAAAAGATCATTACAAGTTAATGCCTTTACAATTTGGGTAGCCTGTAAAGCAGTGAGCATATTCCTAGAACCCATAATAAGGTATCGAAATGATACTAGAATACTGCATTTTACTGAAACAGCTGCTGTAGAGAATATAGTTGGAGTTGGTGTCGTTCCACCAGCTACAGAAGAGACCACAACCGTTTTAGATCGAGAGTTAATTAATACTGTTCTATCCTCATCAGATTCCTTCACCTTGTCTTTTGCTATTAAAAAGGGTAGATATTGATCAGGCGTTAGGAACTTCCCAAGTATTTCCAAACATATAAGAGATTCTTGCACAACATCTTGATTATCCTCTCTTAGAGATTTATATAAGACACCCAAAATGTGTTCAACAAGTTGTACCACAGATTTTTCTGCGTGATAAATACACATCCATAGTATTCGTAGAGCAATAACACGTCTATTATTAGACGAAAAAGGAATTACCCAATCAATGGCGGTTACATCAGCAAGAATTCTCTCTATAAAGGAACGTAATGACTCAGCCACAACATAACGTGCACCCAAAGAGGGACGTCTCTGTAAAACATGATACAACTTTGTATCAACTGTAGAGAGATTCATATCTGGGTACTCTTCGTCACCATACCATTCAATGTCTTTCATGGTCACTCTCCTTTTTGAAATATCAATAGAATTATCCTCATTATCTATCATAAATAGTTTTCCCATACTTTCTAATACCTCACAAGCTTTTACCGAGACAGAATCAAAGCGATCTGTCATGAGTAATAGAAGATGAGGGAGTAACCTACGGTGTTGTTCTTGACGCTCAATAATATCTAAAAGAGCTACTGAAAGAAGCTGAACAACAGCCAAACGAACAGTTTCAACGTGGTCATTAGCCAAAACAAAAAGAACATTAGTTGTCGTTCTGTTTTCAGGTTCATCTCTTCCATCTGAAAGAATCTCTGCAGCACCCCGTTGAATCAACGCTGCTAGAGTTCGAACAGCCTCAACTCGGACTAAGCTGTGTTTATGCAGAAGGCAACTTTTAACCACTTTAGAGAGTGGTAATGTTATATGTTTTACTTGAACAGGTTCAATTTCACATAGACGTACACATGCTCGACATGCTTCTTTCTTAAGGTCTGGAAAGGCATCGCGTAAACAGTTTTCCAATAGAACTTGAAAAAAATCAATATAGTTACGTGGACCTATCTCATGAGGAAAAGTCTCCATACACAACACTGCAAGCTTCAATAACAACAAACGCAACTCCTCACTTTCTTCTACAACAGGCGAAAGACCTATTCTGGTCACAATTGCTGGTAGTACCCAGTCAAGCACAGATGACTTTTGTCTCGGAAGTAATTGCGTCACTATCATAATGGCATACTCACGACAACGTTCAGAAGTATCTTCAAAGCCCCGTAGACAAGAGCGAAGTAGATCAAATTCTTCCATCTCACCAAGAGTTTCATTAGAGCAAAACTCAGAGAGTTTGCGATACGCTGATAAACGTTTACCTCTTGCAGTATCTGAAAGCTCATTCAGATACTTTGGAAGAAACTCCATGGTATAATTAAACCCTTACCTTCTTGTTGTTTAACTTCAAGAAAAAGACTACGAGAAACACAACAGAGAATATCGGAATAGAAATGAAAATATGGAGGTGAGAGAGAAAGACGCAGGTAATAAAATATAACCAAAGATAAATCCAGTGAGAACGTCTCACAGAATGTGCATCCCAACTTGGTTAGGTTTTAAGAGACAGAAGAAACAATGGGGAAACTAGTCTATAAGTAAGGCATTTATAACATGCGTGATTCTGTGAAACCCACTCCTACATTAATTGATCCTACTATTTAAGTCACCGGACGACTCATCCGGTAGGACTCAGAAAAAGAAAGATTGTAGGGTTCACTTCTTTCGAGACCCCTTCATGCGGAGTGACCAAGACTTGAACGGGACGACAATAGAAAAAAAAAAAAAAAAGCATAAATCCTATCATAGACGTTCAGTCAGTCATTTTTCACACTCAAACACAAAATGAACGAATGGGAGAAATAAATAAGTATGAAAAAAAAAAAAAACATAAAAGCAGCACACCCTGGCACACAAAAGATAATAAACCATTTGCAGCTCCGTATTCTCTTTAGAATCTTCCACCGCAAACTCCTATTCTGAGTGTATGGTCGCCAGGCAAAACCAAAGAGTAAAAGAAGAAGCAACCAAATTTCACAACATAACAGATGACAAAAATAGAAAAAGAAAAAAACACCATACCAGACATATATTTAAGAGTAAAATCAAGAGAAAAAGGAGAACCAAAATAGACACCAGAGAAAACCAGTACCCAGTGGTCAAAAAAAAAAAAAAAGAAAAAAAAACGACATACGTCTATACATACCGATATTCTCCACGTCCAATAACATATGCATAGTGGCCAATTCTACCAAACAGGCCCAAACATCAAAAAAAAGGCACTTCTGCTATTACCAAAAGAAGACAGATACCATTCTGCTCATGCAAGAAAAAAAAAATGTCAAAGTAACACTCCAAGCACATGGGAAAGGTAAAAAAAAAAAAGTCAGAGAAAGTATTTAAGACAACACAGAGAGAAACACAGCAAGTATCAGCACGTCCATCAAACATGCATTCATTTACCTACTTTAAGAAACAATATGCGTAAGAGCAGTGAGAAGAAATTCACACGTCATTACTACCATATAACCTCAGTTATAACCCATACGTGTATCCCAAAGAATTGAAGAACACCATGTTTGTACCGCAAAAGGACACATAGCTCTTTCATAAAACTAATGGGGAAACAGTCAAAAAGAAAGAATCGGTTCGGTCTCATGCACTAAAAGGAGAAATGATTAATGCACAAGATGATGCGTATCAAACAAAAAAAAACCCTTGATATCCCATATGTTTCAGCAAATTATCACAAAAATAAAGCTTACTGCTACAGCTGTAAGGGTACATAAGCGCAGTCCGGCAGCATATACTCCCCTTTGAATGTTTAATTGCAACAGCCCCAAGCGCACCCAGCAATCACAAACCATTAAAAAAAAAAAAAAAAAAACCACAACTAGTAGACAAGAGAAATGTGGGACTATTAACCGCCCCCAACTGCCTTCCACCACTGAAAAAACAGCAACGTTTAGCAGAAAAAAAAAAGAAAATTAGAAGAAAAGACATAAAGATCGTAATCATTCAACCAAAGGTGGCGATCGTTCTTACTTTATGGAACGACCTTCTCTCACAAACAATGGCCATTCGAAAACGCAACGGAAGGAAGGAAAAAACATGAAAAAAAGAAACGTGGGGCGTCGCCGCCGAACCAGCGACCGAGACGCAAAACCAGGACCGCGGCAAAAACCGCGTGCTACCAGCACGAAAAAAAAAGAAAAAAATTGCCCGCGGCCCGCCGACCGGAGCGGAAATGGCGGAGAGCCGCAGGCGCAAAACCGAGTCGGGGGCGTCCCCGTCGCGTTTCGCGAAGGAAGCGGCGCTCACCGGCTTCGGCTGGCGGGGGTCGGATGCCCGTTCGGTGCGAAACGGTGGTGGTGATAGACCGGTTGCCCGCTCGCGCCGCCAAGCCCGGCAGGACCCGATGGCGGCCCGTACAAGGTTGAGGAAGTAATTGCAAACTATACCAAACGTATGAAGGACAAGGATCTTGCTACATTGTTTGAAAACTGCTTTCCAAGCACATTGGATACGACGGTTTTGCGGGCGTCTGAGCAGGACACTTTCATCATTACTGGTGATATTAACGCCATGTGGCTGCGGGACTCCATGTTTCAAGTGCTCCCATATATGCGTTTCGCAAAGCGGGACGAGAAGCTAATGGAGATGCTTCATGGGTTGGTACGACGTCATTTGGAATCTGTATTAATTGACCCCTACGCCAACGGATTTAATGAGTTTGCTAACGACAACCACTACATGGTTGATAACAGGATTCCACCGATGCCACCCACCGTGTGGGAAGGCAAGTACGAATTGGATTCCCTCTGTGCTGTCATTAAATTGAACTATGAGGTTGTCACAGCAGACTCAGGCAACGTTACGTTCCTCCAACCGGTTGTTCGACAATGGATAAAGGCCATGGAGATAATTCTCGACACAATGAGTGACCAGCAGAAGTCCACTGAAATGCAGGATAACATTTATCCATACATGTTCTTCCGCAGATATCCTCATGGTGTCTTTGAGTACTATCCTCGCAAAAACGCTACAGGGTACACTGGTATGATTCGCTCAGCCTTCCGCCCATCTGACGATATGACGTCCATGGATTTCCTCGTGCCATCCAACATCATGGCGTCAGTGGCTTTGCAGCAACTCATGGAACTCTGCGGTACGATGGCAGACACCTTTCCCGAATACAGTAGACGTAATGGTGATATAAAATGCAACGCTGGGAGTTTACACCGCCTTTTTTTGTTGTTGTTGTTGTTCTTCGTTTCTTTATGGATATTACTCCAATGGTACGGCTATCAGCCGTACACCGTAGAGTACCTTAATTACTGACTTGCGAGTGGTTCCGAAGAAGAAGAAGATCCCTTCATTTTATAGGATCCTCAAGCTCTTGTAATATGATTTTTTTGTTGTAGCCCGTTCCCATACGAGAAAACCAGTCTACGAGAAATCTGATCGAGTAAACTCTACCAGATCTCTCTGCTCTCGCTTTTCTTACCCAGAACCCGTCCACAGGTCTCCTTTTTTGTTATTATTTTTGGTTATTTTTGGATTTTTTTTTTATGATAAATTGCCCTCAATGAACTACTATTTATTTTGTTGCTTGTTTGGTCGGTGACAGGCGCCTTGAGCTTGCTCTTCTATCAGGGTTTCATTATTCGAGCTCGTCGCTGATTTTAGAAGAAAACTCTACATCACTACTCAGAAGCAACCTGGTGTGGGTGATACTGCTGATAGCACGTCGACAAGTGCCACAGGACCTTCTTGGATATATTTCTTCACCAGCATGATGTGGCTGTTCCCGGTGCTTTATAATGCCGTAGCCTAAGGGCCAACGGGTCTTCAAAAAGAAAAACGTCACTGGCTCTTGGCTCCCCCGAAAAGGCAATACGAAGTACTGGACTTTGACACCACGTTGAGGTGGCCGGCATTGCCAAGGACGACACCTTCTAGAGGAGGGTCTGAAGGTGGCGAAGTCGAATGACGAAATACTCGCTTACGAGGTTGATGGACTTGGCAACGCGGTAATGATGAATGATGCGAACTATCCAAGCCCTCTATCAACCCCGTTCTTGGGATACAACACGCACAACGCCTTATACCAAAGAACACGAGCGTTTCTGCTTAGCGACAGAACCCCATGGTTCTTCAGTGGCAAAGCAGGAAAAGGGATCGGCTCTCCCCACACTGGCAAAAACATGATTTGGCCTCTCGCACTGATCATGCAGGCTCTCACTTCGCATGATGACAGTGAGATTACTGAGGTACTGGAAACCCTGAAGAGGTCAGCCCACAATATGTGTTTTATGCACGAGGCGTTCAACATGGATAACGTTACTGACTTCACTCGACCCTGGTTTACATGGGCCAACTCCTTCTTTGGTTTGCTCATTACAGATCTCGCGGACCGCAAACCCCACTTGATTTTTTAATACCCAATAGTAACTCTAAACAATTTTATTTTATTTTAATCTTCATTTAAAGCGCAAATAGAGCAATAAAAGAAAGCGGATAGGACTTCTATTTTTAGAACTAATAATATGCAAAGACAAAAAACAAGATATTTTTTTTTTCGATGGGGAATAAATAAATATGGGTCCTTAACAAAGTGGAAAAAGAGAAAAGATCAAGAACTACAAATATAAACATCTATAATGTAGAAATACATCAAACACGAGAAAACGAATAGGAAAATAATATGAAATAATAATCCCAATGTGGTGTGGGTCGTTTTTCTTCTTACGTGTTTTCTTGGTGGAGTATTGGTGGTCAACGCCGAC